TTGAAAGAGGCTGACCTCTCATTTCTTTTGGATCTGAACTTTCTTCTACACCATCGGCACACTACCCAACTGTTGACACATAGATCTTGAAGACGGTATGGAGCTTTTTATATTCTGATATGTGTGTCTATCTGAATTATTTTGGTCAATTTCTATTTAATATATTGTAGCTTCTTCCAAATCTGATAAAACCAAAAGAAACAAAGACAATCACGAAAAAGATACCACAACCAACTCCAGCTTCACCAAATCCAAATCTTACAATGCTCTTAGATCTGTATGCATGAGTATGTATTAAAAATGTGTGTTTTTAATTATTTGTGTGTATGATTTATTTTGTGTGTTTAATTGTATCTTTTTTTTAATGTGTGTGTTTGTTCTCTTTGTGTTTCTAACGACTTTAGTTGTTTGTTTTGATTTTTAGATCTTGAATTATCAAGTGGGTTGGATAATTTGTGGCCGCCATTTGTAATTTTTCAGTTTTTTCAGTCTTAAGAGTATGATATAGAATAAGAAAATCATTGACAAATAAAATATTTTTAAGAAAATTGAAGTTGAGAAAAAATTACGTGGGTTGTGTTTTTGTATATTAATGATCAAAATTAAAGATGTAAAGTTTCTTAAAAATAAAATTAAGTAATTATGACAATCCTAATATCTTAATAAAAGTATTTAATTATGACCACCAAAGTCTAAAAATGTTTTTTGTTTTTATTTTAGGATAATACGCTTTAACATATGTATTAATACAGTGACATCTTATTAAATAATTAAATATTGATTATGGGAGATAATATATAAATATATACAGAAAATAAAGAAATGAGGGGAATATGTTTTTCAAGTGATAATTTTTTTAGAACAACATTTTAATATTATACCCAATATAAAATGTTATTTATTTATAGTACATTTTTGTAGATAATCAAAAGCCTTCCGAATAAAGTTTAAGATATCGTAAGAAGTGATAGTCTATACATAGGCAATTGAGTATGTACAACACATTAGTGTCTTGGAAAACCATATGATAAAACTACAAGTTTGATGCCTATAAAATGACGTGTTCTACAGAAAAAAAAAGAAAAAAAAACAAAAAAAAACAATTATAGTTTAAGTATTTTGAATGTTTGACTAAAAGTTTTCTTTCTTTTATTTTTTTTGCCATGTTACATTGCTCCACGTTTTTTAGAGAATTTGTTATAATAAATTATCTAATAATTATGGTTTCTAACCTATCGAAATTTGATTCTTTTATCTTTTATATATTTTATTTTTTATCAATTTTAATTTCTAAATTATTATATTTTTTTATACCTATACAACACAGTAATTTTATTTTTAACCAAAAATAACAATATATTTATATTTTTAATCTAAAATAACGATGTCTTTCTTTTTAAACCAAAACATTAAAATATTTTTCTTTTAACATCAAACATCAATGTATCTCTATTTTTAACCCAAAACAACCATTTTTAAACCAAAATAAAACTAATCACTGAAAGCAACTATTCATCAAAATGAAATTATTTGTCGTCATTGCATTGGGCGTGTACACCGCTAAAAATAAATAATATTTGTTATGTCATGGTAAGTCCCAAAGGAAACGTCCAAAAAAAACTAATAGCTGAAATGGAACGCCCAAGAAAAGCTATCATCAACACGAAACATCCAAATAAAACTAATATTTGAAATGAAATGTCAAAGGAAAACTATCTTTGAAATGGAACACTCAAGTAACACTAATAGCCAAGACGAAACATCCACATAAATAACCAAAAACTCCGTGAATTCAATGTCCGCCACTTAGAAACTATTTGTCGAAACGAAGTTTTTGGTGCCGCCGCATCGCGCGGGTACACCACTAGTATATATATATATATATATATATATATATATATATATATATATATATATATATATATATAAGATTTAAAAGGCTTAGGACTGATAACTCACATTGGTTCCTTTTCCTTGTTTGGATGTAGGATTATAGTATCAGTTATTTGTCTGAATGTCGTTTAAATTTTAGTTATATATATAATTGTATATGTATATAAATATAAAGACTATTTTATTCAGTTTCAATAACCTTTGTAACTTGTTGAGCAAGGGGTTGCATTAATGAACAGTTAGTATCAATACAAAACGTACATGTAAATTATAATAGGTATAATTTATGATTCAAGAACACTAACTCGCGAGTCAAGTATACAATACAAGAACACACTATTTTACACAGAACAAGGATTTGATTAAAAACTAAACATGTGTGAACAATTTATAATGTATCTCAAGTATACTAAACAAAGAACTTACTATCAATCATCTATTTCAGAATAATTGGGTATTCATTACTATTATACATGTAACGTCTATATGCTTTTTATGAGTCAATAGATTCAGGTTGTTTGTTCATTTAAAACAACACAGTTAAAGTCCTGATATTATAACAATAATCTCCAGTCAGGGGATCGAAACAAGTTGTGTATAGATCTATATTGGGATTGACAAGCCCGCACTCAGACTGGTAGCTACAGCCGGGCATACATGCCTATGAGTGACAGTTGTTATCAACAGTTTTTTTAACGCCTTCAAAGCGTTGTTTCAGGTCATCTAGTCTCAGTATGGTTATAATAACTCATTAAAAAGATATTAACAATACGGTTAGTGTATAATTAACTAAACATGAGTACATTTTCAAAGTATCAGTTTACTAAAATACAGGTTACAATATTACATCTCGGTTTACAATAACAGCTGGTGAAGCCAGGCACACTCACTTTTTCGGGTTATACAAAAGAATACAAATACGAAATATTGGTTTACAAACAGAACGGTTTTTATGGGATTTAAAACTACTTTACATATACAACAAAAAATATAGGATTTTCTGTAAAGTTTACATATTCAAGAAACAGGAAACATGCTTCCAAACATAAACACTTATGCACTCACTCAACTGTATGTTAATACTCTCTTTTCAAATTACTTGTATTCTCAGGGAATTAGTAGACAGGTACTCCCCGAGCTTTTGAGAAGACTGAGCTATTTTGAGTCAAGTCTTCTATGTTTTGCTATAACTATTTTAGTGTCAATGTACAATGATTGAACACATTTATAAACTTTTACTTATTAATGCAATGGTTGTTTGTACTTTAATTTCTATAATGCATGTGTTATGATACTACAAATGAAGTCATCCACCCCCGGAAGTTTCTGCCGTCTGGTTTGGGGGTGTGACACAAATTAAACGAATTATTATAAAAAAAAAATGTTGTTTGAGGGTAATATGGTCATTTTACACAGTCAGTTGGATGCAAAATCAAACAACAAATTTCGGTCAGAAGTTAATTTAGTCAGAACTTCTAACCTAGTCAGCTTCTAACCCAGTCAGCTTCTAACCCAGTCAGCTCTAACCCAGTTAACAACTACCAAACGACCCCTTAGATATATTAATTACAATCGTATCTGTTGAATGTTTAAGTTTTTCTGAACTTGAAAAATCAGGTAACCCCCCCCCCCCCCGCTTCAAAATTATTGCTTGATTTAGATTAATATTTAGTTAATTAAATATGTTCCATGAGTTCGATACCCAACTTACTTTACTATACTATAATCCGACTAGGTCCACTACCTATAGGTGCATAATTAGATAAGTAGTTAGGTTATAAATTTAAAGATAGATAGGTAATATCTTTTACACCACATAAGCCCGTCTGTTCTATTGTATAGATGTCCATGACGTGATAGTTGACTAAAGTCAACGTTGGTCATTGACTTTGACCGTTAACTTTTGGCATGGATTGACTTTTGGTCAAATTTTTGTTTTTAGAAGGTAGACTTAGGGTTTGCCTTGCTTGGATTGTTAGGATGTGTTTAGCACCTATCTTTTGGTGTTGAGAGCTAGTGGTTGTGGTCGGTGCGACTTTTAGCGAGGTTTTAGTCGGCGATGTGATTCAGGTGAGTCTCCTCACCGTACTTGTGGGTCGAAGGCACCAATGTCGGCCCAATGGATTATGTTATGTAGGAAGACCAGGTGGTGGCCCCTGGAAATTGTATGAAAGACTTGAATATGGCTCCCCACACATTGTATGCAAGACCAGGGTCTGGACCTTGGTAGTTATACGTAGAGTTGTTTTTGTGATACGTGTATGAAAGACCAGGAGGTGGATCTTGACATTTGTTTGAAAAACCCGAGTTTTGGCCCCCAACATGACAAGAAAAGACCATGATACGGCTCATGGCATGATAGTAACTGTAAGACTATGGATGACACATAACAATCTTTATTTTATATATATATATATATATATATATATATATATATATATATATATATATATATATATATAGTATGTGATATTTTTGAAAACTCATTAAGTTTTTTACTTACAATTTTATGTTTACGGTTTCACGTACGTCCGGTTACAAAGGGAAAGGTCCGACGTATGTCACTATCTCTATTTTATTGTTAATGTCGAACAACATATTTTTAATAAGGGAAATCTCCGGAAAAGTTCCAATATTTTACCATAATTTATGAAAAAGTCTCAACCTAAAACTTGTTTACGAAAAAGTTCTAATAACCGATAAAAATGACGATTTGGCCCTATTTTCCCGGTTTACCGTTTCATTACTTACCCGGTTTTAATAAAGTCTCATTATTTTACCATAATTTATGAATAAGTCCCAAATTATGGTAAAATAATGAGACTTTAACGAAAATTATAGTAAAATAATGAGACTTTAATGAAACCGGGTAAGTATTGAAACCGATAAACCGAAAAAAAAGGTCAAATCGTCATTTTTCCGGTAATCGGGACTTTTTCGTAAACCAATTTTAGCTTGGAACTTTTTCGTAAATTAAGGTGAAATATTAGGATTTTTCCGAAGATTTCCCTTTTAATAATATATATTTATTTAAAAAATTAGTTAAAAATTTATTCTGCTGAAAATGCGAATAAATCCGCTAATCCAAAAATAAATTGGGAACCGTCAACTGGTACACGGACTACACATGAACTGTTCGACCCATATTGGTTAGGTGAAGTGAACATTACCTCCCTCGAATTCCATGGCTCAATGCAACTTCAGTACCATTTGTAGTTGGTGATTCATAGCTTTCTAAAGCAGCTTTAGCTTCGCATCTTCTCACCACCAGGTAAATCAAATCATTATTGAATCTGATTATCCTTTATTTCGCTTTGATTCTATGATGTCTATATACGTATAAGCATGATCGTGAGTGAATTTTTTTTAGGGTTTTGATGTCTTCATTCCATGAATAGATATTAGACTATTTCACAGATTAGGGCTTATTTTAGTTTTCATAACATTGGTTATTCTAGGGCTTTATACCATGGCGGTGGTATAGATTATAGACAACCTCCTTTACGAACAAGACTCGTTTTAGGGCTTTGATTTGCCACGCACATCTTTTCCGCTGTTAAAAGCATGACAATTTCTTATCAACAGCTTCGAATTAAACTGATATCCGAAGCATTTCTTTTGTTGTTTCCATTTTAAGTTCTTCGTAATCAGCCGATCTAGATTCTTATGAGGACAATCGGTTATGCAATTACTCCAAATTCTCAATAATTCAAATGATTAAAATTTCATTTTTCCTCTTTGAGAATCGGCCACCTGAAGTCTTAGGTCATAACATACGCAAGTTGACATGGAAGAATCGATCTTGGTTATGAAATTATCAAAATTATGCATCTGTTTATGATTTCTGAGAACTAATTGTTGTTGATTTACAGAATTTTATACAGTCTCCTTTTCTTGATTTACAGATACTTTTAAATTAGTCTGCATTTAAAGATCTTGATGTCAAGAACACGGAACATACTAGTTGCAACAGGCTTGGTAGCTTTTGCAAGTGCAGGTTTAGCTTTTCCCTTTTACATGGCGTAAGTACATTGCTTTTTGGTTCATTTATTCTTTAATTATTAGTCTTGAAACATTAAACATTAAAATGTATGTTAAAATACAGGACTAGATCATCATCAAATGCCCCTGTTATTGATTCATCAAAACCATTGCCACCTCAAGCAACTTTTAGAGGACCTTATATCAATACCGGATCACGTGATGTTGGACCTGATTATCAGACTTATTCCAAGAAATAATCTTTTTTAGCTTCTTTATTTTTATTTTTTATTATGTATTGTATAAGTTTTAACTGAAGTATTTAGAAAACAATGTACTTTGTTAAAATGCTTATATTAATAATATCAATCCGTTTGGTTTCTATTATTGTTGTTCTTGTTATTTCCGCCCACCATAGTGTGAATGAATATCACATGTATGAGTGACAAATGGTGTACCAAATTTAAGTTAATATGTTGATAGTGTGAATGAATATCACATGTATGAGTGACAAATGGTGTACCAAATTTAAGTTAATATGTTGATATACTTGTTATGAGAATAATTATAGATAAATATTTACCTTTTTGTTGATTTGTAAATGGTTAGATTTGGTATTGTTTTCCTTGGATCCACAAATTGAATTGTGTTTGTTCTTTTAACCTGTTGAAAATTTGAAACCAAATCAAATCTTGAAGGTTAGTGAATCAATCATTTTAATTTTAATTTTGTTGTATTTTTAAAATAAATAATATCCATATGTCAATTTATAGGTTTTTTCAAATTTTAAAATTAAAAAGCCACATAATACTTATATATATATATATATATATATATATATATATATATATATATATAAAGTATTAAATATAATAAATATGATAGTAATTGCAATAAATATGTTTATTTATTTCTTATTTTGGAATTTTATTTTAAAAAATACTTAATGTTTACATTTTGATATTCAGTTTTTTTTTTGTTAACTTATATAATATATAGGTCTCACGCTTAAGAAAGATGAAAATTAGAAAGAAAAAATATCGACCTAAACAAAATCTTTCACAAAAATGATGACCAAATTTGTAATTTAGTAACATAAATACAGCCAAAGAAAAAGCGAATAAATCCGCTAATCTAAAATAAAACGGGAACCATTTCGGGTCAACCGGTACAGGGACTTCAACCGAGCTGTTCGGCCCATTTGGGTTAGATGAACTCATTTGATAGCTCGATGCAACTTCAATCCCATAATAGAGGTCGCCCAAAGTTCTGTAGTTGGCGATTCATAGCTTTCTAAGCCACTTTGGCTTCGCATTTTCTCACCTACACGTAACATGAATCTGATTATCCTTTTATTTCGCTTTGATTCTATGGTATCTATATATGTATAAGCATGAACGAGAGTTAAATTAGGGTTTTGGTGGCTTCATTTCATGAATAGATGATAGGGTATTTCAGGGAATCAAGATTTTCGTTTTTCCATAACAATGATTTGTTCTCGGGTTTGATTCCATGGTGGTGGTATAGATTATAGAACAACATCCTCTATGATATTTCTTTTGTTGTTTGTCATTTGATTCTTCATAATCAGCCAATCTAAGATTCGTATATGGGCAATCGTTTCTGCAATTACTCCAAATTCTGGATTAATTCGAATGATTGATTCCCTATTTGAGAATTGGATACCAAAAATCTTAGGTCATAAGTTGAATTATCCCCACCTAAACTTTTTATACCTCCTAATTTGGTTACCTGATACATAATTTTATATACTACGCATTCATAACATAGAATCAATCTTGATGACATGATCAAGACCATGCATTTGTTTATGATTTCTGATACCTAACTGTATATAATAAATATCCTTTTGTTGATTTGTAGATACTTTTAAATTAGTCTGCATTTAAAGATCTTGATGTCAAGAACACGTAACATACTAGTTGCAACAGGCTTGGTAGCTTTTGCAAGTGCAGGTTTAGCTTTTCCCTTTTACATGGCGTAAGAACATTGCTTTTTGGTTCATTTATTCTTTAATTATTAGTCTTTCTTGAAACATTAAACATTAAAATGTATGTTAAAATACAGGACTAGATCATTATCAAATGCCCCTGTTATTGATTCATCAAAACCATTGCCACCTCAAGCAACTTTTAGAGGACCTTATATCAATACCGGATTTTGTGATGTTGGACCTGATTATCACACTTATTCCAAGAAATAATCTTTTTTAGCTTCTTTATTTTTATTTTTTATTATGTACTGTATAAGTTTTAACTAAAGTATTTAGAAAACAATGTACTTTGTTAAAATGTTTTTATTGTTGTTCTTGTTATTTCTGCCCACCATAGTGTGAATGAATATCACATGTATGAGTGACAAATGGTGTACCAAATTTAAGTTAATGTGTTAATATACTTGTTAGGAGAATAATTATAGATAAATATTTACTTTTTTGTTGATTTGTAAATGGCTAGATTTGGTATTGTTTTCCTTGGATCCACAAATTGAACTGTGTTTGTTCTTTTAACCTACTGAAAATTTGAAACCAAATCAAATCTTGAAGGTTAGTGAATCAATCATTTTAATTTTGTTGTATTTTTAAAATAAATAATATCCACATGTCAATTTATGGGTTTTTTCAAATTTTAAAATTAAAAAGCCACATAATACTTATATATATATATATATATATATATATATATATGTAAAGTATTAAATATAATAAATATGATAGTAATTGCAATAAATATGTTTATTTACTTCTTATTTCGGAATTTTATCTGAAAAAATATTTAATGTTTACATTTTGATATTCAATTTTTTTTAGTTAACTTATGTAATATATAGGTCTCACGCTTAAGAAAGATGAAAATTAGAAAGAAAAAATATCGACCTAAACAAAATATTTCACAAAAATGATGACCAAATTTGTAATTTAGTAACATAAATACAGGCAAAGAAAAAGCGAATAAATCCGCTAATCTAAAAATAAAACGGGAACCATTCTGGGTCAACCGGTACACGGACTTCACCCAAGTTGTTCGACCCATTTGGGTTAGATGAACTCATTTGATAGCTCGATGCAACTTCAATCCCATAATAGAGGTCGCCCAAAGTTTTGTAGTTGGCGATTCATAGCTTTCTAAGCAACTTTGGCTTCGCATTTTCTCACCTACACGTAACATGAATCTGATTATCCTTTTATTTCGCTTTGATTCTATGGTATCTATATACGTATAAGCATGAACGAGAGTTAAATTTGGGTTTTGGTGGCTTCATTTCATGAATAGATGACAAAGTATTTTCAGGGAATCAAGATTTTTGTTTTTCCATAACAATGATTTATTCTAGGGTTTGATTCCATGGTGGTGGTTTAGATTATAGAACAACCTCATCTACGATATTTCTTTTGTTTTTTGTCTTTTGATTCTTCATAATCAGCCAATCTATGATTCGTATATGGGCAATCGTTTCTGCAATTACTCCAAATTCTGGATTAATTCGAATGATTGATTCCCTCTTTGAGAATTGGATACCAGAAATCTTAGGTCATAAGTTGAATTACCCCCACCTAAACTTTTTATACCTCCTAATTTGGTTACCTGATACAGAATTTTATATACTACGCACTCATAACATAGAATCAATCTTGATGACATGATCAATACCATGCATTTGTTTATGATTTATGATACCTTACTGTATATAATAAATATCCTTTAGTTGATTTGCAGATACTTTTAGATTAGTCTGCATTTAAAGATCTTGATGTCAAGAACATGTAACATACTAGTGATGGGTTTTAGGTAAAACAAATAAACCAGAAAACAATTCCTAAGTTCACATGCAACCTACTTTGGATCTATGTTTTAACTATTGAACATACAACTTTGAATTGCAAAACAAGAACCCTAGAGAAGGAGGCTATTTTCGAAAATAGTAAACTAGGGTTTAGGAGTTACATACCTTTCAATTGTTATAGCAAACAATTGATAATTCCCTTGATCTTGATCTTGATCTTCTTGGAAGCTTAGCACCACAAGTGTAATGCCTCTAATGGAATCACACCCAAGAACTAGCAAGAAGGAAAGTAGAAGAAGAGAGAGGGGAGGGAGTATGCAATTTCGGCCAGGGTTTCTTCCAAAGAACAAGTGTCCTAAAATGTGAGCCAGGAGGCTCCTTAAATAGCTGAGGTATCTATGGTTTAGGGAAAACCCTAATTATCCTTTGCTTAGGGCCTAAGCAAAACCCAAGGGCCTTATCTGGACCCCTTGGACGAAATCTCTAGGGTTTCCCCTATGGATTTCGTCCACCTCCTTCCAAGGGGGTTCTGGATCCTTCCACTCAACTATTAGTTAATTGCAAACTAGTCCCTGCACTTTATAATTAATTCTTTTAACCCCAAAATTAATTCTGATTAATTTCTGGCTAACTATTAATTAAACATAATGATTTCTAATTAATATATTAATCTATTGACATATTAATAAATCATTTATATATATTAATTTTATTAATCTTATAAATTAATATCTCTCCTTTCATAATTTCCTTGTCCAGTTGCTAGGTTGAGGGCAACCCAAAAGGACTGTGTGCGCTATCAATTCAAGTACATTCCAATTATAGTTATGGGCTTAGACACCTAATCCAACAGTCTCCCACTTGGATAAGTCTGTAATTATAATTGCTAGTATGCCTTCTAAATTTGACCAGCAAATTGTAGCTTCCAAAAGCTGCTGCCGAACTCTGACCCAGTCAGTTACGTGTCCTAAGATAAGTGATCATATAATCCTTCGTTCTGCTAGATACCCTAGACATAAGACATGGAATGTAATCAATCTCTTTGTCCAGAATCTATGTTTCCCGATTTCTGATTTGTGATGATGTAGGACTTCTAATTGAACACATCAATTTAGTCCTGGTTGGGCCCAGCACATAAGTCAACACCAAATCATCGAGGGGCCCACAGATATCGCTTTTCCTGTTAGGGCAAAAGGAACGAATAAACGTTGACTCATATGCTTGTATCTTTTACTCATCAAATTATACATGACAATACGTTTTATAACACCAAGTTACGGAGGCGTTTTCGTATCACCAATGATAACCGACTTGTAAATTACAACTCATATATCTTCGTTTCAAGATTATAAGATATTATCGTCTCAGTATTACTCGTGATGAATTCCATGAAGTGATACTCTGAGCGAGGGTTTATCCAATACTCCAATCTCAATTTCTGAGTACTCATGAACATTGCAGCAATTCTATTGCCATGTCTATCCTCAGACAATCTACAATCTAGTTCATGACAGTCTTAATTCACTACTTACTTCCAAAAGTACGAGCGACTATGGAGTTTGAATAATTAAATTATTCG